TTGGGTCGCTAGTTCTCCATCGTTACGGTTCACTTTCATGCTACCTCGGAGCGGGCGACTTACACGTTCCATCCCCGCGACGGGAACCATCATCGACAAAGATGACAGAGATTACAAACATCGTCATTCCGTCTATTCGGCGGAAAGAAGAAGGATCCTCTGGTGCGGGGGCGGGACCTGGAGAGATCCTGACGACCAGGAAAGACAAAGGTACGACAACGAGGAATATCTTATATTCATCAGTCAGACGTTGCTAGCAGAGTGGTGGGAGTTTCGCTGATATACATTTGGTATGGCTCAGAATGCTCAGACGTCCGTTTTCTGAATATTGACCTTCTCTTTAGGCTGTCGTACTCTGCAATAGCGTTTGCGTTTGCTGTTTGGTCGCCGTGGGGCAGAATGCTTTCTCAGAAGGGAGGCGGCGATCATCCATCCGGATGCCCCGGTCGTACATCTATGGGTCTAGGCCAAATCCCAGAAAGGTGCATTATTTAATTAAGACTTGGTTACTGGCGTCGTGAAAGAGTCGTCTTCAAGGTCATATGGGCGGCGTGAAGTGGGAACCGAATGTTCAGCTTCTTGTGTTCAATTTCCACCAATATGGCCTGTAAATGTACAAGCCCTGTCTTGGGCCGTAGCGGCCATGTATTGTTTGTTGGTATTCTGCATGTGGCTTGTGAGAAATTTTTTCATATTCTGGTTAAATTACCATGAGACGCACCAAAATAATAACAGTAAGCCAAATATGTATGTGACAAAGAAAGGTTCGCGCCTTACAACGTTGGGGGAAATCACCGAGTGATTACGGAACGAAATTCCTTAACCACGTCCACCCGGAGTTTGCACCATGCTTGTATACCCGGGAACATATCCTCCATATACTCTTTCAGGTCCAATTTGTCTTCCTTTGCCACAATATCGGTACAAAGCGTCATACGAAAGCTCTGTAACGTGAAAGGTGTCTTTTCCGACAATACTCTATCCAAGTTCATCCAAGTGAGCCTTGCGTAGTCTTCGTTATTGTTATCACTCGGCTGGTCTGAAATGCTGAATGGAGGACGAGTATCATATAAGATGGTGACTCTTTGCAAGGACGGGCTTATCGCTAAACATCTGGTTCACCATCGTACTGCAGAGAGATGAGAGTCGTCGGGGTACCAGTTGATTTGTAGCACAAGGGTATGTACATTGCCCAGAGATAAAGGAACCCGCGATCCCAAGTCTGAAAATATGTAAGAGAAGGAGCTTTGCGTTTGGAAATGATAAGGCCACGAACCTGCGGGCTGGAGAGCTCTGACACCCAGCACTTGAAGGGACGGTGTTTGGATCAGTCTTTCAAGGTGCAAAATATTTTGCGGACAAAACATGGTCGATAGATTACGCAAGCCTCTCAACGATATTAAATCCCCATTAGCGAGTGCTTCTAGAACTGGACCATCATGTAGATTGCAAGACAACTTCAGTGCTTGAACACGAGGGCGCCTGACACCGCCATTCGAATTCGGCAGTGTCTGCTCTGCCACTTTGATAGTGATAACGTAGATGTCCATTTTCTTCAACAATGTGAGGTATGACAAGGAAGTGCTGAAATGCACGATATCTCGAAACGTGACCCCTGCTAGAATAATGCTTCGGATAGACGAGATGGCGGAGAAGCAATGGTACGGAAGTCCGTCGAAGTCGACGGTGCGAAAGGTGACAGAATGGAGGTTTACAAACGACCCGAGAATCTCGAAGTCGAGAAGCGTTTCAACGACGCTGTTGGTGGAGACATGTAATACGACGACGCTTCGGGATATATACAGCGATTTTTGGAATAAATCGCAGAAATCAGCACGGCGCTTCCCATCCACAAGAGAAACCGTGCGGAAGCTATGTCTCCTAGACCTGGCACAGAAAGCGTGGCAGATAAGGGAGCAAACTTTTAGCGCCTTCGGATCGTCGTGAAGTCTGTCCACGATGTCGTCGATCAGTTCCTGCGGAAGCTCTGACATGGCTAGGTCGAATATGAAGAGATAAACTTAATTGAAAACGACCGTTCAGTTGACACAGCCGTGGACAAAGTGTTAATCAACTTGAACCCACCTTGTAAATGACTTCGAAGTTGGTTTACTTGGCCGCAACGATGGTATTGCTAATGGTCTCGTAGATTCACGAGTCCTAGCAAGAGCTAGCGGATTCTTGTAAATTCCAGATGCCGTGGAGTCGGAAATACCTAGGGCAGGGCATGAGAAATGAGGTTGCGTCATTGAGCGGTATCGTTACCCGTAAAAACCAAGAGAAAGGCACACCGAGTAGACAGGGATTGACCGCTTGAGATTCTTTAGATTCTTCAGATAAGCAGATTCCAAGCCAATTGGAGACGATGACAGAGAATTTTCAAGGACGATATACCTTCCAGCAATGGCGGAGCAAACCAGTGAATCGGGCCGGAAAGGATTTGAAATCTGTACACGCTCGCACGTGGTCCGATCTTTTTATGGTATCCAGTGATCCATCACGTTACACCACGTACTAGTGCATATTCTCTTGAAGAGTCTCATTTAACTGCCACCGTATCTCTGTGTAACCTTTGAAAGACTTTGCTGAAGAAATATGGTGCTCAAACGTCTCCAAAAGGCGACCTCAGGAGTATTCAGCGATTCAGGAGGGTAAGAACGACTCAGGGATGACTGACGCGTTCGGAACGATAAGTCTGGTGGATTTTCCCTCAGAAATATGTGTCGAGACCAGAATGCTTACTATCAGCTGCTCAGATCTGTTATCCCCTGGGCCGGCTTCGCCTTGCACGGACAACGATGGGAGTTCATTCATTGGGCCTCATTGGCCGTATGGATATTTTCACGAAAGTTTTAGCTACCTCAGCCAACGCCTGGATTCTCTACCGGTGTAGGACAGCTTGTACGACACAGTCTGTGGTGTAAGGGTTTATGGTAGCTTTATTTATGCGCGGTTTGATTATTGTATACGCATTTCAGTTACAAGAAGTCCTCAGGGTTCTTATTTGCTCTAAATTTTATAAGGACGGGTAAGCGCTTAGATACTACATCTCCTCACACGTGTTGATTTTGCCCAGCTCCGGTATCGTGATTTTAGACGATATCCTGGAGGACGGCACTTCTGAGAGTATTCTGGAGTTGCTGCCTTCCAAGCGTAGAAGTCAGCATCTGTGGCCTTCATCATTGATCCCACTTAATCGGAAACATGATTTTCCGCACGTAAAACTTGGAAAGGTGTGGTTATTTCCTTACGAAGAGACTTCGAAGAAGTAAAGACTTGCTTGCTTTCGCTTCTAGAGGATGAACATCAGGCATATTCTCGGCTGCGAGTATCACAAGTATGACACGTAGGAGGGGTGGCTATGGTATGGTATAGCTCTTTTCATTTACGATCGATTTTGTTGACAACAATGTATAGCCCGTCAGAAAAAAGTGACTGGTTTAGGGACCTCGGATATCAGAAAACAGATGTATTAGTGACAGTCAAAACTAGAGGGAAGCCACGTCAGCGACGCTGGAAACCTAAATGCCAGTAAATGATATCTTTGCGGCAGAAACCAAAGGTCCTTGCCCTCGGTTATGATTTGGGCCTCGAAAGTACCTGTGCTCCTGATACATTCACGTTCCATCTTCTCGTTAGACAAAATCGTCTGTTGATGGAGAATGTTGAGAGTTTCCTCCTGGATTTTCTCTTTCATCGTATATCCGTTATCTATCTCTCGTGCAGCACAGGGACTCAACCGCCAAGTGACTCTCACGCATGCATAAACAGCTTCTTTACCCTTGGAAGGTGACAGTACTAGTCAGCGTCCTGCGGGATTATAAGAACCCCTGGCTTGGATATCCGTATGTAACTGTTCTCTCACCATTCCCCGACTTCTATGATTTTGGGCCTGTGAAAAACATTCTTGAACCTCCAAGCGAGGTCGTGGTCGACACTGAACCTTTTACAGCGCAATTCCTCTACTGCCTACATTGTTCCAGGAGTGGCACGAACGAATTCATGACCGGCTTCTACATCTCGTAGGGCATCCGCATTGTTCATCGTCAAAGATGTTTGAGGAAAGGATGTGATTACTAGAGCCGGCCGGCCGCACGAAACACCTCTAGGTGCAAAGGTGGTCCCTGTCACAAATACACGGAGTAAGTACTCTTAAGACTTATACCCACAAGTCCTTATCTTACGCGTGCTGTACAGGGCGCGAAAAGGACGAGAGGACTGAAGGGTACCAACCGCATGACCGGTCTATTAAGAGATTCCGGAAGAACTTCCTCGGGAACGGTATATACACAGACGTAAAGTTCGTAGAGTGTCTAATTTCTGTCCATCAACTTGGACTTGACGAGGATCGCGGTGGAATTTATACAAGGCCTTGGTCTCGACTATGATACGACGATGGCGTATGACACAGACACTGCAATTATATTATCGGTGCAGAATATGCGACGGTGACGAGGATGTTGTCTTATAGGAAGCCTTGCCTTCGTGGGTTCTATTTACCTCCCTTCAAGTTTCATTATCTTGACTTACTGCTGAGCAGGTACGACATCTATATGACTTCAATATGAACGCATCCGATCCTGAAAACTTCGAAAAGCTTCCAGCGGAAATACTAAGTGACAGCGACCGTGTTTAGTGCTATGTCCACTGCTGTGAATGACCATCAGAGGGCAGACCGGCTAGGTTGAACACGATCAAGGAGCATATTAAGGGAATAAATGTTCAGGACTTTTTGCCTTATTGAAATATATCCCAATGGCACGTTCAATCAACGAGTCACTTCTGAATCAGGATTACTATGCAGATTTTGGCGAGCCTCTGTCTCATCCTATGTCTACATACCCACCAAAAGTGTTTGAAATGGACATTGGAGGGTCCTTGAGTCTTGAGTTTTACCTTTGGCGTGTCCAGTTGTCCTCTGTCATTGAATGATATTGATGGAATCTGGATCGATCAAAATGATGAGGGTACAAGTCGCAATGCGGGTACAAGTCGAGATATGTCGGTAGCTGGAACCGAACCAGCGGCTCTTCAGAACACCTTCCACAATGAAGTGCTTTAAACCCTAAGCGATACCAACAGCACCTACAAGATCCATTAAAATTTTACCTGGCCATAAAGAATATGCCCAAGCTGGAAGACGCTTGGGTACGTTTGCGACCAACATTCCATGCAGTCTACTACAAGATGATATGGTCATAAACTTTATGATAAAGACATAGCGCCATTTGTACCATCAGCAAGAGGAACTGCGTCTCACGGTCTAGTACCGCGAGATGGCCTTCGAGTCTGTCAAAATGCTTTGAAATTATTCCTAAAAATACAACCGATCGAACTTGAACACACGTGCTACGTATCTCGAAGGAGTACTGTCGAGTAACTGCAAATGGCGAGCCTCATATGGAACTAGAGACCTCCAACGACGAAAATGGATAGCAAAACTAGTACCCTCACCCGCAGCATCGTCTACAAAGGCGGACATGAAATTTGCGGGCGACTCCACAACAGTGGGTATCATCCAGTCCTTGTCCAATCCTGACGGATCTTCCTCCTCGATGACCTCGAGAATACCCACATCTGTTCTGTCTGCTTCTCGTATATCGATCTATAGCGATGGTAAGTGTCACACAGCCGCTTGCTAGACCCGATAGCTAGACCCGATAGTATTCTCCAACACCTGAATATTCTGCGCATCGAGATAGTGCATCATTTGAACCTGCGACTGTGGTCTGGCAAAAGGTCAACGACTGTTGATAGTATTGTCAAAAAAAACCCGAGTTGATAAGCGCAGAGCACAGGGATATCATTCGGGAAACGTATCGGAACTTGAGATCATGGCTTTCCGACTTGAGTAACGTGGTCTGGATTGGAAAGGGAATCAAAGGCAACTCCCAGCTTGGCATTGTTGTTCCCATCCGAAAGCGCTGCAGCCAAGCTGCTGATGCGTTTGGAAGATTCACTCCCCGCTTTGTCTGTGTTCGCACTTAGCCTTGCTTGTGAGCAGCGAGTGTAGCTCATCCTTGTTCAGAGCGGCTGTGAATCGCAAGGAGCTCGCTTTTTTAGGAATCATATCCGGATTGCATCTCCAATGGCATGCTCGATGCGATCGACGTCGTGTGAGAAGACGAACGGTTCATTTTGCAGCCAGTTCGTTTTGCTGATGGAAACGTTGCGAGCGACGGAGAAAAGTGCTCCGCGTTTTCCAAATCAGCTTGATCATGGAGCCCTTTGTCAGTGGCGATGTGAAGAGTAACAGAATGACAAGATACCGCAATGGAAACGGCATCTCCGTCCCCTGAGCAGAAGAGGCAAAGATAAAGGCAATTAGAAATGTCAAAACGTCGGTCTGCCTTTCGTCGACGTTCGGGAATAAGGCCAGCAGCAAAGATCGAACCGCGGCTGCAAACACTTCGGGGGGTCAGGTTAAGGGTCGAGAGTAGCGGTTCCTGTTTTTCATAAATACCTGTGAGAGAACATATATGGACAGAATGCGACCTACACCTGTGTCATTCTCAGCGTGATGAACACGGTGGTCAGAGTGGGGGCACTCTTGTTGATCTTGATTGGACTGACACCAAGTATCGAAGGCGCATGCTTAGTAAGTGTCACCCGGGAAGGGGCATGGTTACATGATGCCAGAAATGCACGGATTCACGCACTGATAGGGTTACTTCAGGTCTGCTCGGAGCTCAGATCTTCAGAGATTGAAGTAAACGGTGGGAAACCACGTGAGATGTGGCTGTGCATGTTCCTGCGGTATTAACGGCATGATCGTATTAACAAGACGACAACGACCACTAGCGGCACCTCGCCATGGATGTGCTCGGTCGCTGATACTTACCTAGCAATTCCCATTTATCGACTGCAGCTGATAACAAAACCCTAGGCGAGAGCCAGCTTGTCCTCGCACTACTGAGGAATCACTGTTAGGTTCGCATTCTTGCTTGTGTACGTCTCGTCCGCCTTTCGTTGTTTCTTCGTGTCGATGAGGTCCATTGCCGGTCGTGGAACTACAGATCGTTTTGTGGCACTCACGGGTGGCTTCCAATTCGCCTTCGTTGGTTGAAATGGACCACAGAGGATTCAGAGGAATCGATTTTTGTATGAACCCAACAGAGGAGCCGCAGAATTGGGAAGGAAACGGAGTTTTCATTGAGAGTCAAATTAGCCACGAGGAGTGGTCGGATGTCTATGAAATATACGTATACATTCAAAGGCATAATCCGCTGATGTAAGGGTTGAAAGGAGACAGAAGGGTAGCCGTTGAACGCCGCGCGAGAATGATAGGATGTGGCCGACGACCACCAGCAAATCGACCGCGATCCTTGATTCTCTCACTATGTACCGTACTCGTTCTCAATTCCTAGGCCTATTGGTCACCCATCAACCAGCCCTCCGTCAGCTTGCTGTTCACCGTTTTCTCGTTCCACACACATTGTAAAAGGGTTTGCTGATGATAATCGGCCCCGTGCGTCAGTTTGGGCTACATGGTACATGCCTTCAACCTGCGGGAAAAATTGATCTGACACCGTAGAATTTAGCTCGGTGTTTCGTAGGGAAAATACAGGGCTCGGTATCGAATACAAGACACGCTATCTCAAGCTCCAGCTTCAATCAATGTCCCACGGGATTCGGAGACCCGTAGGACTGTGGATGTCTTTGCGTTTGTACGTGATTTGAAGCATAGCATGAGTGTTCACTGTGACAGGCAGCCGAGGGAATGGGGTGCTTTCTGGTAATTGTGAGTTTGCGCAGCTTTACCTCTGCCTGGTTCCTTGACTTCTTACCAATTCTAGCACACCTTCCTTCGCCTTGTCACGGCTTTTCCTCCTGACTCTAGTTTCATATTACTCTCAGCATTTCTTCAAGGTGTTTGCCCGAATTTGTGCCGGCTCGTACTATCCCCCCTTGCCGATTACGAAGCTGACCTGTCCTTTTGCACCTCACTGCCGCTTCGTGTGCATGTGCGCCAGGTTTAGCTACCCGTGGACGCTGTAAAACTTTGTGCTGGAGGGGATGCAGTAACTACTGAGAAGCTCACTATGCATCGACGATGGGAACATACGGTCCACTGGCTGCGGAGGCATCATTGTTTGTGCAAGATGGACCGGAAGTATAGCGCGCGAGCGCCGTGATAAAATCTCTATCTGTTGAGAAATTCGGTGAGTGTACTTGGCCGCTTCTTGGGTCCTTGGATTGATTACTCATCACTTCTAGGTTCTACTTTTTTACGGGTATGCTCGTTCATCAGAAACGATGTCAAGTTCATTCTGGCGATACGGGTCGTCGACGCAGAGTCCCGATTTTTTGATCAAGGAAAGGCACGAGAAAGTTGCGAAGAGCTGGCCTGAAGAAGTTATCCTGTACGTCGCATCTTCATTTCGATGATCATACCAATATATTGTATTCCAGATACCTGTAGTACGGCATTTCATGGAGGTTCTCTATCAATATTAGTGTCCTCAAGCTCGGATACGTCACCTAACGCACCTCAAAAAGGCAAGCGATTGAAGGGAAACGACGAATTTTCTGCGAATACACGGCATTCTGGATGGACGAGCTACACGACAATGCTGGATAACGGCGCATAGATAAACCATCTAGTGCGATACTAGATGGATTTGGAGAGGGTGTGTCCTGATTCTTTGTTCCCACGCCTATGCTCACCTTTCGTTGGCGTAGTTGCTGCACCTTACTGAGCTGTGCGCAGCATCGACACGCCCAGCATTCGCTTCCGGTCATACCTCAAGTGCTTTCTTGTTCATTTTGAAATGTATCTCCGAGGGAAGGATCATCACGCAGCCGACCTTTTCAAGGATCACGATAAACTGCACGTCGAGATACGATTATACCAGCACGAATAGATACGACGAGTGTCCGTCTTGAGATTACAATTCCGTCATGCCGTGTATGTTGGGCCTTAGCTCGCTGTGCTGAAGGTACCTTCTAACGATTTCTAGCTAGGGCTGATGTACTAATGTGCTCCCTTGCAGGAGATGATGCACTTTCATCCTGTAGCACACAACAGTACTGAATAACTGGCCAAGGTGGCGTTCTCCCGCTAAACTGCACATGCCCATAGTTCGCTGTCTGTCGTATCGAGGCCACATAGCCATCACTTCAAATATCGATCAACTCTTTTTATCTTCTAATGACAATCTAGTTTCTCGTCGTAAACAATGTAGCAAATATGAACAGAGTGTACAGCGATATGTTGTATATGCGTCTATTGTTAATATAAGTAGACGTGAACAATCAATGTTAGCAGAAGAGTGCTGATAGCCGTAACGAGCACAATGAGTAACTCTGAGTATCTGGGATACATATTGCGCTGCACGGCAGTGGTGACCTTCGTGTTGGTTGCCCCATCATCAGCATCAACTTTCTCAACTCTCTCCAGGGACATGTACGTGACATCTCCCGGTGGAGAACCTGCTAGCAGTACCTCTTTACACAAAGTCTGTTGTGCACCCTCCGATATGATTGTTAACTCAGGCTCCGAGAACTTGGATACAGCATCGCTTGTCGTCCATTCTTTCACGTATTCATCAGTGACGACAGCCATTGCACTAGCATCTGCCTACCTTCAAGTTCCATAGACTTGGATGTGTCAAATAGCTCCAGGACAGGCCATCCATAACGCTCGCACACATCAGTACCTCCCCTCGCCGGATCGAATCCGTACTCGGCATTTAACTCGGGTATAGCTGCGAACATCGATGAACATGGCGATGACCATGATTCCCACAAAGTAATAAGCTTAAAGCCAAAAACATCTTCTGCTTCCTCCAAGGGTATCTCCGAGTCTCCGTCGTAGAGCCAGGACAGGACAGACATAGATACCTTGTGGCACGAGTAGTCGACAACAGGATGGTGTATAAACAACGAGAGCGTATGGGTGTCTTCCACCATGAACGTGTCGCAGAGATGAAAATGCTTGCCATGCTTGTCCAGCGGTTCGATGCGAACATGAAATCCCCCATCTACGTATCCATATAGACATATCACATCAGTCCATTTTGGTCAAGAATCTGGATGCTCACTTATTTGATAAAGACCGTCCTCGTGTATGCGCCCTCT